TCTGTATCTTCCTACCAAGACGCATACAGCTACCAAATGTTGCAGATATGTTGTTCAGTTGAAGTTTATGCTGGGCTAAAGCCAGAAAGAAATCAGAGACATTCTCCTCATTAACCTCAGCTGCACCATGAAGGAGTAAAATATTAGTCCTTGATCTCATTTCTGCGGTGTCTAGAGTCATCATAACAAGTTCCATTTGTGCTTTCAAACTAGACACGGCTTTCCAAATGAAGGATTTAAATGTGTGAAACTCACTTGACAAAGAATTGATATCAGTCGAAGAGCTTGTTGAACTGTGGGCATTTAAGTTATCTTCAAAAGTCGCCAGCTTGGTTGAGAATAACTTAGTAAGGTCGTCCATATTCTTGCGAAGAAGTAATAGGTGATCCATAATGCACGGTGATTGTAACTTGTAGGAATGTTTAAGTGAAAATGTGGGTGAAAAATACAGCTGCCAGAGTGGACTAAAGAAATCTAATACATGTAAGCTAAAAACTGAATTAATTTAAATGCAATAATAATTAAAAACTATAAAAATAAAGAGGAGCAAAAACAAACGTGTGTTTACTTTCCTACCCACAATGAAGAAAAAAAAAAAAAAGAAGTAGTGTAGACATAATAATATATTGAATATATACGGATAATATAAACTCATAACTACATCACCTAGTTTGAAAAACAATAATGTTCCTAAAATGCGGGTAGCTTGGATGGTTGCGCCATATAACATTACATTTTTGTTTATTATTATATAATTATTATTAGTAATAGTTTGATGAAATAAATAATTTAACGTGGTACGAAACGTTAATTTTCTAAGGATTGGCACTACACTAATTCCTTCATCCTCTCCTATTCCCGCACATACCTTTGTTTTAAGTGCGAGCGAGAAGATTCGCTTGTATCGAAAGTGACATATCGCGCTCGCGCGTCACTGTTAAATTGAACGCTGAAGTTGACATTGAATTCCCGCCTTGATCGCGCTTAAGATCAAGTTTTTTGTAATTCGTGATAATTACTAAACATTTTAATCCACCGCATCGCTCTAGTGTGTTTAAGACCATTGTGTTTGTGCCATTGTTGTGAAGCAAGTCGCTGGGACCAGGAGACACCGATAGCCGCCGCACTGCAACCTACAATTCAAAGGTACTGTGCCTCCTTCCTTACCAGAACTGTCTTTCTTTGTGTTCCATCCTCACAAGCAGTTGTGGTGGTTGTTGTGGTGTATGCGGTGTGCCGGCTGTTGAGTGCTGGTGTATAGCCCGGCACAACAGATGAGGTGCGGAAGATGAGGAAAGCCAGGCGGAACAAGAAACGCAGTCCCGATAGATCCAGTGGTTTATTTCGGGTTACAAGCACATACACAGTAGTTACATACACATAGAGTATAGTCCACAGCATATAGAATGAGAAGGAGTGAAAGAAGAATGATAGTGTGAAACCAAATTGAATTATTATAATTACGATGTACTTTATAAGTAGCGCGTAAGCAAGCGAGTGACACAGGTTATGCCTAAGATGTAAAAATCACGACTGCGAGGCGAGGCATCTCACTGCGCTCGCGCAGTTCATGCAGCCGGGACCCGGTCCCGCGCGCGGCTACTATGCCCGGCGCTCGGCGCTGTATGTATAGATAGCTATGTACGTTAATAATGAATTTAATATTAAGACGCAGCATAAGATGTATTTATATTAATATGATAAAGCGTGATGTACATAGTATAATAATAATATAGAATAGGTAGATATAAGTGTATATAATATAATGTTGATGTATGATTATGTGTGTGTGTATGTCTGTTTGTCTTTATTTAATATTAGTATATATATAATGATATTTTAATATATGGATATGAAGGCTGAGTAGCCTATATCACTCCCCTCCAAAGACCGTGACTACGGGCGATAATAGTCAGGGAATCGAACTACGCGTCCTGAGCGCGTCTTTTTGGCGGTATCCTGAGCTGGTATATCTGTCTGCATAGGAACCGGGATAGGTCGAAGGATGGGAGTAGGATCGGTAATAGTTTGAGGTGTTGTGGATGGGTCTGCCAGTATGTAGGCCGGTTTGAGTCGGTCTATAGATACTGTGACCGGTTTGCCTTTAACCAGTAACTTAAATATCTTATCTCCGCGTTCGAGTACTTCATACGGGCCAGAGTAAGGAGGCTGTAAAGCGCCTCGCACCGAGTCGTCGCGCAGAAAGACATGACTCGAGGATGCCAAGTCTTTATAAATAAAGATCCTGTCCTTCTTATGGTGTGTTGCGGGAGATGGTTGCAACTTTGCTGCGAATTGCCGGAGACGGGTGGAAAAATCCGTAATATCGGTTGAATCTGGCGCTGCTGATTGAAAGAATTCGCCTGGTAGACGTAATGGTTCGCCATATACCAGTTCAGCAGAGGAAGCATTCAAGTCCTCCTTGAACGCTGACCTAATGCCGAGGAGAACAAGTGGTAAGCTGTCAACCCAATTCACGTCTGCGTGACACATAATGGCAGCTTTTAATTGTCGGTGGAAGCGTTCCACTAACCCGTTGCATGCTGGGTGATACGCGGTTGTTCTGCGATGTTTGAATCCAATCATTATTCCAAGATATTGGAAAAGTGCGGATTCAAACTGTCGACCACGATCAGTAACGATATCGGTTGGACATCCATATCTGGATATCCACGATATCAGTGCCTTCCCAACAGTTTCGGCTGTCATGTCTGCCATGGGGAATACTTCAGGCCGGCGTGTGAAGCGATCTACTACCGTTAGGCAGTAGCGTTGGCCTTGAGATGGTGGCAGTGGACCTATAATGTCCGTGTGGATGAAGGCGAAACGTGCACGAGGTAAACTGAACGTACCCAGTGGAGCTGACACGTGACGGTTCACCTTTGCGCGCTGACAAGCCAGACATTTTCGTGACCACTCTCGACAGTCCTTTCGCATCCCGGAGCAGACGAATCGCTCGGCAACAAGTTGCGCGCTCGCGTTGGCGCCTGGGTGGCTAAGATTATGAAGGCTGTCGAAGAGTTGTTTACGGAACGGTTTGGTCACGAAGGGTCTTGGTGATGTTGTGCTTACATCACAAAACAGCACAGTTTCGCTATTTGTGAGCTTTAGCTTGCTTAGGCGGAGTGATGAATCACCACCTAATATTTTAGCTAACTCGTCGTCGGAAGCTTGTGACTCGGCCAGTAGGAACAAATCGACTGGCATCTGCAGTTCCTCGATACGAGACAATGTATCGGCGACGACGTTGTCTTTGCCCGAAATGTGTCTTATATCGGTTGTGAACTGCGAGATGTAATCGAGATGACGATACTGACGAGGCGAACAATTAGCTTTCCGTTCACGGAAAGCGAAACTGAGCGGCTTGTGGTCTGTGTATACCACGAAGTGTCGAGCTTCCAACATGTGGCGGAAATGTTTAATGCTCTCGTATATGGACAAGAGCTCGCGATCGTATGGAGAGTACTTTTGTTGGGAAGGACTTAACTTTCGTGAAAAGAATGCGAGAGGTTGCCATGCGTCGTTATTGAATTGCTGCAAAACTGCACCCATGGCCAAATCAGATGCGTCTGTTACCAGGGCAAGCTTGGCTTGACAGTCTGGGTGTGCGAGTAATGCAGCATTTGACAGGCTTCCTTTACATAGCTCGAAGGCCAGCAGGGTGTCGTCGCACAAATTTATGGGATGGGACCCTTTTGCTGAGCCAATGAGCAAGTTGTTCAATGGCGCCTGTACTTTCGCGGCTTGAGGGATAAATCGCCTGTAAAAGTTTATCATCCCCAAGAAACGTCTCAACTGCTTGACGTTCTTTGGTGCGGGGAAGTCCTTAATGGCTTCGACCTTTGCCTCTAGTGGCTTAGTACCAAACGCTGAGATATGATACCCTAAAAACTTGACTTCACTTACTCCAAATATACACTTAGAAGTGTTGATGAGGATACCGAATTCCTTCATGCGAGTGAAGAGCTGTTCAAGGTGATGCTCATGTTCAGCTTCATTTCTGGAGTACACTAGAAAGTCGTCCAAGTAGCAATAACAAAAATCGAGCCCTCTAGTCATTTCGTCGACGAATCTTTGAAAGGTTTGGCCCGCGTTGCGTAGGCCAAACGTCATATAAGGGAATTCGTAAAGTCCGAAAGGAGTGGTAATGGCAGTTTTCTGTATATCACCCTCATAGACCGGGATCTGGTTGTAGGCGTTAACCAGGTCAATAGTGGAAAAGATTTTACAACCAGATATACTGTGAGCAAAATCGTGTATGTGCCTAATAGGATAACGGTCTGGTATCGTCCTTGCGTTCAGCAGCCGATAGTCGCCGCAGGGCCGCCAGCCGTTATCCTTTTTGGGTGCAAGGTGTAGCGGCGCGGCCCAGGGACTTTCAGAAGGACGTGCTGTACCATTACTGATCATTAGTTCGAATTCCTGCCTAGCTAGTTTAAGTTTATCAGGAGCTAATCTCCGAGGAGTGCATGATATAGGCGGACCAGGTGTAGTGCGTATATAATGTACAGTGTTGTGCATTGGAGTCAATGGTGTGCCAGAAGGGCGAGTAATTTCCGGAAATTTATTTAAGATATGATGAAACCTTGTGTCACCCGTAACAAGTTTTACAGAAAATGTTTCATTATTAGCAAAACTGGTATTTGTATATATATTTGTAGTATTATCTGTAAGGCGGCGGTTTCGACAATCTACTATTAAATTATAATGAATTAAAAAATCAACGCCTATAATGGCTTTAGTTACATTAGCTACAGTGAAACGCCATGGAAAGTTACGCCTTAAACCAAGATTTAAATTAAATTCTACATAACCATATGTGTCTATGTTGGTCCCGTTGGCTGCACACAATTTAAAGTCCGTCTTCTCGCGTCGTTCACGCAGCGCAGATCGAGGATAGACGCATAAGTCGCTACCGGTGTCCACCAGGAACTGGGTGTTTGAACTGCGGTCGGTGACGAAGAGGCGACCAGGTGAGGCGGGGCAATCGTCAGTCGCCATTACCGACTGCCCGTGGCGTTTCCCGCCTTATAGTCGCACGGCTTTACGCATTTGCGTGCGTTGTCTCCATGCATCGAGTGGTACCAGCAAACAGGGAACTTTCGGTAGCTAGAGTTCGATCTAGACCGTTGTCGTGGTGAGTTACGACGCTGTTGCGGTCTAGAGCGATGATTAGGTCGATGATGATGTGATGCAGTGGTGCGTTCTTCGAGCTTTAGTGCCAGATGCTCGACCATCTTCTTCAGCTCTGCGATCTCCTGGGATGCGCTGGTAGAAGACGATGCGCCAGATGAAGTGGCAGCGACGTGACATGGGGTAGTTATCTCCTGAATGCGATCAGCCAGGTCTGACAGCTGCTCCAAGGAATGCGTTGGTTGCGACGCCAATACAGTCTGGATACTTTGTGGAAGCCGGTTGCTCCAGATGGTCCTAACGAAGTCCTCAGGTACGGAAGGTCCGGCGAGATCTAGGAGATGCCGTAGGAACTGTGACGGTTTTCTATCGCCAAGTTCCTCGTGTGTCAGTAGCTGCTTCACTTTTTTTTCATGGGAGGCAGATAAGCGACGTATTAGCTCACTTTTAATTTTTTCATACCTCTTGCTGGCCGGTGGATTTAGCAATATATCTTTTACGGCTTTGGCGTGCTGTATATCGAGGTTACCGGCTACGTATGCGAATTTATCGGCGTCATCGGTAATGTTGTGCAATGTAAACTGGCCTTCTAGTAGCACGAGCCATATTTCCGGATCGTCTGGTGCGAAAGCCGGAACCTTTAAATTAACCGTCGATATGTCGGTTGCCATGCGGCGTTTGTAGGAAACGCCCGCTTTATGTGCACGACGCTTGGTAACATTTTCGTCTCCGCCATCTTGTGAACACGGCGTTTTAGCGTCACTACTATCACTCATTATTGCTTCTTTGTGATCACGTCGGGGTCACCAGTGTGGTGGTTGTTGAGCTGTATGCGGTGTGCCGGCTGTTGAGTGCTGGTGTACAGCCCAGCACAACAGATGAGGTGCGGAAGATGAGGGACGCCAGGCGAAACAAGAAACGCAGTCCCGATAGGTCGCAGTGGTTTATTTCGGGTTACAAGCACATACACAGTAGTTACATACACATAGAGTACAGTCCACAGCATATGGAATGAGAAGGAGTGAAAGAAGAATGATAGTATGAAACAGAATTGAATTATTATAATTACGATGTACTTTATAAGCAGCGCGTAAGCAAGCGAGTGACACAGGTTATGCCTAAGATGTAAAAATCACGACTGCGAGGCGAGGCATCTCACTGCGCTCGCGCAGTTCATGCACCGCCCCGCGCCCCGCTGCCGGGACCCGGTCCCGCGCGCGGCTACTATGCACGGCGCTCGGCGCTGTATGTATAGATAGCTATGTACGTACTATCATATTAATATGATAAAGCGTGATGTACATAGTATAATAATAATATAGAATAGGTAGATATAAGTGTATATAATATAATGTTGATGTATGATTATGTGTGTGTGTATGTCTGTTTGTCTTTATTTAATATTCGTATATATATAATGATATTTTAATATATGGATATGAAGGCTGAGTAGCCTATACAGTTCTCAATCACCAACCTAACAGTGTATCGTGTCAATCCACGTACCCGTCAAATTATTTAGATACAGTCCACTTAAATCTCAAACAATATTTATTTCACCCGTGCCGCCATTGGATATAAACGAGCAAGCTAAATAAAAGTTGTGGCAGCCGTGGACAGTCATACCAAAGCAAAGCAGTCTTAAGCGTGAGCACAACAGGCACAATTCCATTAGTGTTGAGATCCATAGTGTAATCGCTAAATGTTGTAAGTGATTGACTAAGCAAGCAACATGCAACTAAGTGTAAGATTGTATTAGAAGCTATAATTGCATAAATGTTTACAATAAATAAGTGTAGACCGGTTATGCAGTGAAATACATGAGAACAAAAGCGAGACTCGCAACTTATAAGCAAAGCAGAAGTTATAAACATTTTAATTTTATACATTAAATTAATTATATTTAGAATTATGCATTTAAGCAAGTAAGCACTAGATAAATGAATTACTACAGAGCAAGTATTAACTATGAATTTAGAAAAATATTCCAAATATGTTATGTTACAAACTAGGTAAGCTTGTTTAAATCATTTTCATTGTTGACAATAAATATTCGAGAAGTGTCATTCTGGCGAACGTGTATTTTACAGAACTTCACCCATATGTAACTATAACCTTTCTCTTTTAGCACTGATTTAGCTTTCGTTAGTAATGTTTTAGATTGCGGAGTTAAATGATCGTTAATAAAAACACGCTGGGGTGAGCCGGTAAATCCCAGATCACTCGCTGAAATACTCTTAATTGCTCTCGCAGCCTCTATAAAGTCTTCTTTTACATATCTGTTAGTAAATCCTAGAATTATAGATTTATCTTTGGAATTATAAGACGGTACTCTGGATATGTAATTGATCTGAGTTCGTGGAAGGTCGTATTTAATTTTGTTACTAATTAAATCGACTATACGGAAAAGGTTTTCGCCTGCTTTAATTGGTATCCCTTTGATCTCCACATTGTTCAATCGGCTCTATTGGTCCTTAGCCGCCATTTCATTTTTAAGTAGGTTGATTAAGTTTGGTTAGCACTATTACGATCCTGTAATCGCTCCAAGTCTGATACTGTTTTCTCGGCCACTGACAAACGTGCGTCCAAGTCTTCCAGTTTTGTACTGTTAAATTCACAGCAGGCCCTTAAGTGTGTTATCTCATTTTTGATTATTTTAACGTCTTCAACGAGTGTAGGTAATGATGCAAGTTGAGTTTTCATAATTCGCAGTTCTTTCATTATGGAGTCCAACGTTACCGGTTCCGCAATACTAGTCTTCTGAACAGCAGGAGAAGAGGATTTACAGAACTGGCATTTCCATGCTGCTCTCCTGTCGGAGCCGAGCTTTCTGTAGCCTGACTCAGTTATGTTGGCACACGAAAAATCGTAGTGTTTACGACATGCTCCACACTGAACACCATCATTGAACTCGGCATTACACGCTGCACACTTCATCATTATATATAAATATATAAAAAGAGAGAACAATAAGATCTTCCACAACGAATAAAATCAAGGCAGATAAATAATTATTACGAAATGTTCAAAAGGTTGACTTTCACTGAATTTATATTTAAACGAATAAGACGTGTTCCTTTATAGAGTGCGCAAACTGTACTGATATATATGTATATATATATATATATATACATATATATTAATATCCCCTTGGGCACTTTGTGGCTCAGACGTGCCGTATAGGTAGTTTTTTGTTGATCCGTTTTGAGCCACAACTGTCACGACGAGTAATAATAATAATTAAGCGATTTATACACGATTTTATACAAATCCACCTTTTTGGCATACGAGCAGTTCTTGATCCAATTCAAACGGGCCAATCAGGGTGCAGCATTTGCCAAGGGCTTCCTCATTGGCACGTTTGGACTACTACATTATGGCTACAGTAACTTAATAATGTCTAGCTAGTATTTCAAGAATAATAGTCTATCTAATCTAAATATTTATAGAAATCAGTCTGGAGTAACGTGACTCCAGATCAAACCTCAATACTTATTATTTTTTGGACGGGAATCTTTTCTTTTGTAACAAAGTTACTGAGCGAATAAAGAGAAGACGCAACGGCGGATCCAGGGGGGAGCGTCATGGAGGTCATAGGAGTCATGGGGGCGTCATGACTCTCCCCCCCCTTAGCCCAGGACTTAGGTAGACCACTAATTGAACTAAAAAATAATGAAACAGCAAATTTTTTTGCACGATCGGAGTGTTGGTGCAGTAGTATTAATTATAATTAAACATTGTTACTTAAAATATAACAGTTAAAGTACTATAACACTAAAAGCAAAATAGGTATTTTCAAAATACTTTTTCAAAATAAATTACCCTTTGAGTTTTTGTCCAAACCTCAGATATTTTATTTATTTTAGGTATATCAATCATTACATAGTATAGTATAAAACAAAGTCGCTGTCGCATCTAACAAGTACATAAATAAAGAAACAAGACTTTTTGGCTCTGAATATATTTCAAAAATCAATTACTTGTGTTAATCAATTTATATACTCGTTCTTATTTCATAGTACTTGTTTTGATCCGAATATATACAGATACCGTAACGGTCTATTAATTATGAATTTATTATACCTAACCTAGATATTTTATTTTGACGAAACTCCGTGTAGTAGTAGTATCCGATAAGGGTATGCGAACCCTAAGTATTATTTCAAAATGACCAGTAATTTCGAAGAAATAAGCCTTTGAATTTCAAATCAACTTACCAAACGGACGCTCAAGGTTCGATTCCCGCCACCGATTTTTTTTTGTTATTTTTTTTTTGTCTTTATTCTAATTTTAAATTAACTATTTTAATAATTAAATGAATTTAACCGAACAAAACGTTGTTAAGTATTCAATTAATTTTAATTTACATTACCTATTGTACTTTCTAAATTGTAAAGCAGCTAACAATTATAGTAAGATCTTATAAATAACTAACACAACAAGTAAAACATTTTAAATGTATTTTCTTTATTATTACAAATATTTTTTATGCATAATATAATAGTTAATATCTAATAAATACATAATGATCTGATAATCAAATTATAAGTACAGTCTCAAATTGAAAGTAAGAAAAACAGAAAATATAGAGAGAACTATAGGGATATAACAGAAAGATGTGAAAAATGGAGAAGGACAGTAAAAAAGTTACAAATTTAAATAATGTTGCCGCAATTTCTGTTTAAATGAATTTATTACATTATTATATATATTAGGCATACGACTAGCCTTATGACTGTTACTTTTTTTTTAATCTATACATCTATACATGTAAATAAAATTGGAGTGTCTGTTTGTAATATTGAAATAACCGTTTTTACTACTTGCATATGAATATAAATCCGGTACATACACCAAAATAACATATTTTACAAGTTTTGTCTGTCTGTCTGTCTGTTTGTTCCGGCTAATCTCTGAAATAGCTGGACCGATTTTGACGGTACTTTTTTTGGCAAGTAGCTGATGTAATAAGGAGTAACTTACGGTACTGTTATTTTAGAAAAATAAAATAAAATTTCACGCGGACGAAGTCGCTGGGGCCAGCTAGTCTATAGATATACCGAGATTTAATATTTAAGTTGCTATTATGTTGTTGACAAAATTTTACTGTAATGTTACTATTACGTTATCCTACACAATTTGTATTATTTTGGATGAATAAATAAATAAATAAATAATAATCTATACATCTATACATACAAATAAAATTGGAGTGTCTGTTTGTAATATTGAAATAACCGTTTTTTACTACATGCATATGAATATATATAAGGTACATATACCAAAATAACAATTTTTACTAGAATAGAATAGAATAGAATAGAATAGAAAATCATTTATTCAAATAAACTTACATTGAAGCACTTTTGAATAGTCATTACATTTTTTAATCTACCACTCGTTCGGAAAGCTGTCTCATCACAAGAAGAACGAGCAAGAAACTTGCGTGTTGCTCTTTTAAATAATTTATTATTACTTTACATTTTTAAGTTTAAGTGTGTGAATACAAACCACCAATTAGCACTAATTCTATTAAATACTCAAATAGAAATAATATTGAATATATAACCAACTGGTTAAACAATTAATAAGAGGAAATCAGTCATAGTGATTAGAGCAGACCAGTCCCTACAAGCAGCACCCGTTCACGAGTATGACGGATGAGCCAGCCATCACTGCGCTCGACCATATTTTAGGGAGCCCAATGACCCGGCCCACCACGCCGCCACAAGTCTGGACATTTTAGTGAGCATGACTACTCAAAACACTAGACTAC